ACAATTGTGATTATGAACTAGAACAAAAGCCTCAACAACAGTGTGGTGCTGGAACTTCATTTTCTTTGTAAGGAGGAAATTTTCTTTCCTTTTTACCAGAGCTTATCTACAAAATCTAAATTAGCTCACTAAAATATTTATTTCTGCATGGTTTTGAGATATGAGTGCCTAAATGATTATTCAACAGTGAAGAGTCATGCTTTCTTATCTCACTCAACTGTTTTGATGCTTAGATATAAATGAAGGGACAGAATATCCAATTTTAATTGAACAGGAAATCAACAGAAAAATGGCAGGTATATTTTCAAAGTCATTTTGAAAACTGAATGCAATTGTGTTTTAATGCTATTTTATATGTGTTCCTGATATTGAAACAAGCAAATGAATGCACCATTTGTGGTAATATTTTGTTGTTTGAGCACATTAGTTGAAAGCCAAGTAAATATCACAGCCCCATACTCTGAAGTTCTCTAACTGCATGTTAGCAGTGGTGCCAAAGGGTCAAGTGCTGTTTGCTGCCCTGTACACCAAGTGCCTGGAAATGTAAAAATCTAGTGTAATCCACCAGGTCTGACTAGCAAAGAGGCTCTGTGGCTCAACTGGTAACAGTGTCTCAAAGTTACATCACTGTAAAAACTGATAGTCCCCATCACTGGAAATCTCCAATAAATATGAAAGAACAACATGAAGTATAACAGTTGGAAGTATGTGGGAGTGTTCAAGACATGACATCTGTGTTGGAACATCATATGCCACCATTTCTTTCAGCTGCTGAGAGCAGATGTCCCATATCTGCCTCTCATTCAAAAGGAAAGGAAAAATATTTAAGAGAAAAAACCAGCAGCCTTAGGACAGAACATTTTAGTTTTTGCAATCACACACAGCAAAGAGGATTACAGTAAAATGATCTTACTTTGACTTTCTTCATATGCTCCTGTCTCTTTTAACACATGGATATAGCATTTATTACTGCAATTAAAAAATAAGTAATTATTGTCCTCCTTCGAGTCACATAAGCACCAAGTCCCAGACCCCCCCATCACATCTATTTATAAAATATAACTTTTTGTTTTGAAAAAATATAAATCTTCAGATTTATATGTCCCAGATTTAAATCTTAAGATTTAAATGTCCCAATTTCTTTCCATTGCAAAAAGTAATGGGTGCCCTCAAAGGGTAAATTTTCAACCTGTCAAAAAAATGTTTCTCTTGTTTCATTTGCAATGAACCTTAAACATAGCAGAACCACTGAGAGGAACCAAGGACCTCATAAACAAGGGGAACTTCCCAGCCCTGCATCTCGCAGTCACATGTTTGGCCGTTCTGTGCACTTCAGCAGCACCAGAAGGACTCCTCAGGAGAGAATGGCAGAGGGACAGGCAGGAGATCCCCTGCTTTTGTACCTGGCAGGTACCCAGGTACTTGGAACAAAACACTGCTATGCTGAGATGCCTGGCAGCTAACAGCAAAGCACATTACTCTTTTCACAAGAATTTCCATATTTCTGGTAACATAACTTGCACCACTTTGGTGGCAAGATATGTAGCATGTGGATCCCAAAAGATTGCGAGGCTTAAAAACTGTTGAGCTTCAGAACAGACAAGGGAACATGAAAGTGAGTTCCCCTGATATAACCACTCCTCTCACTTCTTTCTTAAATGTGAAGTGGCCTTCAAACTGAGTATAATGTCAAAAATTCTGTCAGGTTTTGATTGCTAAACTGCATGGTCTAGGTAAAATTCAGACTGGTTGGTTTGACAAAGTTTTTTTGTCTCATGTTAAAAGATATGTGTAGTGCTGGAAGGGATTTAGAAAAAACTACAAGGATTATTTACTGCTGTAGAAAAGACCTGATAAATGTAGGCTTCCAACAGTCCTCTGTGTTTATTTTATCAAAGAAATAAGAGATTGATTACAGCATGCAATGATCATTTGGGTAGAACTGTGCAAAAGGACAGAAAAATTGGATTAGGAAGTAGGCCATGTATATATCACAGGCAGGGCACCCCTGATAACCAAGGACATTCGCAAACTCTCTGTGAGGCATTTACACATCAGATCCCTTACAGGGCGACACGTCTCCTTAAAGAAGTTATGTGGTCCAGCACAGCAGCAAGTCCATGGAGCTGAATGGCCTGCCCTGTTCATAGATACCAGATCATCACTTGGCCTTAAATAAATATCCTGATCAGCCTGCTAGTCCCTGAAAACAGGAGGAGCCTACTCCTTCAAATACAAGCCACCAGTGTTATCTCCAGCCTATAACAGCACCTCTCTCATGGGATATTAACTGTCCCCCTCAGTATACTTTAAAAATTATTTGAAAGCATTCTTGGAGACATTTAAAATATGTATCTTTTCCTCTTTGAGCCTTTCATGAAAGAATATATCCTGAACTGACTTCAGGGAGTGAGAATTTGCAATCACTCTTTAAAATCCAGACTCATACAAGTATTGCCCAGTGGTATTTTTGGGCTAAACTCCTGAAGAGGAAAAGACAAAGCTATGCTTGAGCAAAGATCAGACAGGGAAAAATGCAAATCTATAACTTGTGAAGTGACTTTATGGAGAAAACCTGAGAGGATCTGTCAGCTCTTTGCTTTACAGACCACTTTCTTGATCATAAAGGCAGGCCCTCTGACAGGGATTCTTACCTAGACCTCCAGCCCTAGACTTGCTGGGCTGGAGCTGCTGTTCATGGCTTTTTGCCAGGGCAGAGGCTCTGCAAGTTGCTTGATGAGAAACTGTGTAAGGAGAAGCAATATTCCTTCTGTAGTTTTAAATAAAAAGAGAAGTTATTTGACTGTGAACTTTAAACCTTCATAAGACAAGCTTGTACTGATAGCATTAAGTTCCCTGGAAAACACCGAGACAGCAGGACAGGAAATCCCCTGGCAAGACCCTTCTTTGTGATTTCACTGCTAGGAACTCACTGCCAACACAAGAGCAACCTCTCCTAAAATGGACACTAGAAATTCTTTCTATTCACTTAACGTTTCTGGGAGGAAAGCTGGCCCTGTTGAAATCCAGGGGCAACTTCTATTGACTTAAGTCACTTAGTACCTCAATTTTACCACAATTGAGGTCCTGAGAGGGCAGACAAGCCACGAGGACATATCTGTATCAGAAATACTGACAAAACCAACAGCTGAAAGAATACTGGAAACTAGCGGAGGAATTTCCAGTAAAGACTACTCAAGCACTAAAGCACTGTTGCAAGATGGCTCCTATTTCTCTCCCACCTATCTTTCATCTTTTCAGTCCACAGGAGGGGGAAAAACAGCACAGGAACTTTTATGCCCCTTCTGCAAGGTCTGGCCCAAGGCTGCTCAGAGTAGGAGTAAGAAGGCAAGGCATACCTTGGTGGGTCTCTCCAGTAACCCACCCACCCCAGGATCCTACTGCAGTGAAAGACACTATTTCAGGATGTCATACACTGGCCCCTTTCTCTGGTATGTATCCTGAGGATTGCCCAGCATCAATGGCCACTGAATAAGGGGCGTTGTACAGTACATTTCTGTCTACTCCCTTTTGGGTTTTTTATGGGCCTTTAGCCCATTATTTTTTCCATTCTGCTTTTGAACCAATTGATACTGTTATCCCCCTGACCCTTCTGCAGCAGCTTCCAGTAGATTGACGTTCACCCTGGGAAAAAATACTGTTCTATTATTTTTGTTGAAACACTTTCTCCTTAGGGTGCATATCCTGTAGTTCCGGAATTGCATGATTTAGCAAATAGTTTTGCATCTGTTGTTTGCTATCAACTGCTTTCACAATTTGGAAAACATCAATCAGAACGCCTCCTCCTTCAGCATTCTCTCTCCAAACTGGAAAGTCCCAGGCATTTTTATTTGCCCTGTTTTCCAGTCCTTCTTCTCTCTCTCTTTCCTAGCTGTCCTTCCTGCAATACAGACACCAGAACCTCACTGATTAGGCAAAATGTGTGTGTACCAAAGTTTTGCACAGAGGAAAAAATCATGCTTTCTGGTTTATTCACAAGACAGCACTGAGACAGGCCTGACATTATTCTGAATAAATATGCCTGGCACCACCTCCAAGAAATTTATGTCATGGGCCTGTCAAAGCTCTCCTCCTCCTCTGTCTTCAATCTTTTCTTCACCCTCCCACTGCATGCTCACATTCCTCCAAGCCAAGTCCACACTGCTCTCCCATTTTTCTGCTACACCCCCACTTTCCAAGCCTCCCTTTCCAATCTAGATAGACATCCTGCATGAACTGATTTTCTGTGCACAAAACACTGCTGAACACACTATGAAAAAACATGGGAGATGTGCACCACTGCCACATGCCAGAGCTAGCACCCACATTTGCATTGCTGTTGGCAGCAGTTGTCACCATGTGTATAATGTAGACATATTCTTTTCACTTATCTCTGCTTGAGCTTCTTGTGTGCAAGTTTGGAGGGGCCAGGTCCCCAGACCTTCCTTGCCTAGCACAGTGGATCAGGCCATAGTGCATCAGGATGCATTTCAACATCTCAGCCACAGAGCCTGCACCTCCCACAGCTTTGCCTTTGGTGCTGAACATCAGCACCCAGATCAGTCAAAGCAGCACTGCTAGTCAGGAGAAGGGAGGTAAGGAGGAATACTATCAAATTCCACCTCTCCTTCCCTCCATCTTTGCCTCTGCACTGGAAGTTCACTATTTTCACAGCCATTTTGCCCGCTCTGGAAAGTGTGTGGTGAAAGAGGCGCCAACCAGAGTGAAGCATGCAGACAGTTCTGTGTTAAAAGGGAAATTGTCAAGCATGTGGTTTAGATTTTCACAGTGAGGAGCTTGGGAAGGGCATTTCTTCAGGCAACAACTCACCCACCATTGCTGAGGTGCACAGATTTTGCCTGTGCCCCTGCCTATGCCTCGAGGCTTCCGGCCTTGTTTGTGTCTTTCCCATGACATCCACAACTGCTGCTGCCAGGGACAATTTCCTTCCACAGTAATGTGTGTTCTGGCATAATCTTAAACAAGCATCACTAGGGGGATTTAGTCAAAGAAATCTACTGGTAGTTTTATTTTGCAGTGGAAATCTGTAAAGCATATTTACATTGCCCTTATATTTTACAAGAAAGGTCTGATTTGGCTCATCACAAAATAACGGAATTCTGACATTGACTGAGAATGATTAAAGCCAGCAAGAAAACCTTAGCAGTGCTAGAACTTACAGGATTATAACCCCAGACATTTTTTGAATAATATTTAAAATAAAATGTTTTGCAAATGAACCTCAAAGGCTTAAATTAGTTTAAATTTGTTAGAAATGCATAGCCCAGTGATTGTGTAACTTCATTGAAGGTATAGAGTTTACGGCAATACCAGTGAAAAGAGAATATTTTCCAAACATTACCACAACCAGACAAATTATATTAAAAAACATTCATGCGGCAGAGTAATACAAAATAAAAATCACCTGATCAGCTCAAGCAATATTGATTTATATCTTTGAATTAACAAAATTTCTCTGTACAGTTGCAATAAGACTTCAGTTTTACAAACTGATATTTAGTTGAACATATTTATAACACAAATTATACACTATGTACAAACCTAGTTCTTCACAGAAGTCTTTTTTCAGAATGCTTCAACACAGAAATGATTTACCAATTTCTAGGTCAGGATTCTAGCTCTTCCTTTAATTTAAATACCAAAACACTTATGAGAACATGAAAATAAGCCCATTTGCTATCACATGGTGCTGTTCTTAAGTCACTTGTGTGTTACCATATGTTACAGAAGAGTAGAACCAGTCACAGCAATAAATAAAAGTGCTTATTATCAACTAAACACTTATATTCACATAATCAAACTTTCAACCTGAGTGCTTTTACAAGACTGTAGGATCCATTGATCTTTGCTTGTCTTGCCACGTAGATCAAAATGGCAGCTGCAGGAACAGCTACTGCTGCTACAGATGAGAATGCAATAATGAATGGGATCATCTGATCTGGTTCTTCCAATCTTGCTGAAAATGGAGACAAAAGGAGAAAAAAAGTGTAAATATTGTTTGAAACAGATACATGTGCATCACTGTAAAAGCAGTCTTACTAATGACTTTCATTTGTAACATATTTCTGTTTTCATGCACAAAGCATACTTTCTGAGTTTTCCTTAAAGTTTTTTTTTTCTTTCTTCATATTACATACTTTAATTCCTAGCCACTATCTTGGTCTTGAATTTGCTATGCAAGTTCAAACCTATCTGATATCATCTATAATGAAGAATATCATGAAATTCACAAAGAACATAAGAGGAATACCACATGGAAACATTTGGGTACATTTCAACCTCCTGAAATTTATTCTTCAAGGGGAAGACCATGTTTTAAAAGCTCAATATTTAGATTTTCTGTGAAACACAGTCTTCTCTGGATTAGTCTCATTGTCCAAGCATGTGGACAGAAATGCAGCCAGGAATTGCCTTTTTGTGGCCCTATCCTTAAAGCCACCACATCAACTCAACTAAGCAAGACAATGACAGCCACAGGAGGTTAAAATACAGCTTATTCTGACCCGGCTGTTTGGTGTGATTTTGGGTGAGGGTTTTTTTTCAGGTTAACCACAGTACTGCCATGCAAGGATCAGCTATGAACTAGTTGTGCTCACCTTGATACAAATTTCACTAAAACATACAAAAAAAAATAGGTTTAAGGCAATAGACCCAGCTACCTACAACAGCTATCTCAATCTCTGTAATGTTGTTCCAACCTTTCTGAAAATATGGAGGAGTACATGCTTGTATAATTTTTGATGACACTGCAGAGTATAAAGTTTCCATTCACTGATGGCAGAATAATTTCTCCTGATGGGCTTTTTATCAGGACTGTCTCTGAGGGTATATGTGCTACATGTAACAGTGATATTTTCTACTTTTTTAACATTTTCTGATGGAAATACTAACACATTAATATTTTGGAGAGGAACTGAAAAGAAATTCAAGGTAGGATTTAGCAACAAACAGAAGCAGAACTGGTGAGGCATCAGCAGCTTTTAGGTGCAAAATACGAATCCAGTTAATGGGGCCACTGTAGTAGTTGAGCCCATAGCTTTAGACACTGCTCTGTCACCAGCTGTCCTTCCCCACTGAAGCCAACAGCAGCTGGCAAAAAGAACATTTTATCAACAGACAGAGCATGTTGCATAACTTTGACATTATATGGAGCCTCTTCTTCTCTTATTTCAAATCCAATGTTTATTTGTTTGAGTTCATGAAAGGGCACAGACCAACAAACCCAGAGGCTGATGCCCTCTTTCAACAGAAGAGAAACAGAAAAGGCAAAGGAAGGAGTCCTAGAACTGTATTTTTTTTTTTTTTCACAAGGTTCTGCAATTTTATATCCTGTTTTCAAAAGATGAAGTGGAAATACAAAAAAAATTTGAAGCAGCAATTATTTTATGCATCTGCTATTTTGGCAGAAGTTTTCATTAGCATTAAGACCCCATCACTTATGACGAGAACCTGTGCAACTCATGTCAGATTTTTTAAAGACAATTCATTCTTAATGAAACTGAAGATGTCACTCTGTGTAAAACAAATCCTAGTATGAACTCTGCACAGCAGTTATATTAACTAACCTTTGACACAAGTACTATGTGCTGAGACTGCTCCCCCAGTTCATTAACTGTATGTATGTGTATTTTCCTGCATCCCTTAGCTGAGCCTTGTCTGTGGTATATTTGCTATCTACTGTTTCAAGGGTTGTGAACCCATCACCAACTTTCTTTTACAGACTAGTCCTAAGAGATGTAACATCTGCAGATGTGCAAGGAATAGTAACACTTTGTCCTTGTTTCGCTTTGCTTGAAGGAGAAATCAAAAGCGTATTTTTTCGTGCAGCTATAAAAATAGTAAAGAACAGGGAAGAGAGCTGAATTGGTGGCAGAAGTGATCCCTAAGCAAGACACTGTTGCTATGCAATAGGCAGAAGCAGCAGAGCTAAAGCAGAGAAGTCTGATTATTATTGAAAGTGAAACTTCGCTATCATTCCAACTAAGTTGAGAAATCAGCATTTCTTGTAGCTTAAATGCAGCCTGTAAGAGCAGGAAACAGAGCTGAAGCTTAGGGAAGAAGCAAAGAGCTGGAATACAGTGCTTCCATAGAGCAGCTTCAGCATGTAGTCTCCTTGAGTCTTTCTTATGCAAAAATCCACTGATAGGCCTGCTTGGAAGGATATTTCCTTCCAGGCACTGCATATCCTCTTTACTTCATGCTTACACTTGGCAGTTGGGAGGACTGATGGATGCCCCACCGACTTAAGAACTTTTCATAATCTATCTGTATTAAGGCAGACTTCACACTTCATTGTTTAAAGCTTCCTAAATCACTTTGTGATATTAGGACCACCTTTTAACTCCACTGACATCAAAGACACAATTACCTCATTCTTCAAGATCTGGACCTAAAATACATAAACCAAAAAAACTTGTTTTCCATCTTGTTCTACAAACCTTGAACATATAATTCCACAGCTTTTTCTTCCTTGCCAAATTGATTATAAGCTTCACATTCATAAAGCCCCAGATCTTGACTTTTCAAGTTCTGTATAGTTATAGTTGCATTTTTAGAAATTTTCTCAAACTCCCCGGTGGCCTTCTTTTTCTTCCAGGAGATCACAGGAGCTGGATTACCAGAACTTGTACATTTCATTGTCACAGTTTCCCCTTCTTTAAGAGCAGCAGGGAAAACAGTGATCACTGTATTCTTTGGTCCATCTGAAAGGAAGAGGCCTACAGTTAATCATCACTGGATTATTTAGAGATAGATCCAACATGTCCTAGACTGTCACCCTCCCAAAACTAATTTCTTTTTCATTCCCAAAACAAAAGTAAAGCACATGGTATCAGAGTTTCTGTACAAATTCTCCATAGCCCAGACATTCTAATCAAATACCTCTAACCATGTAGATCAGTTTCTCACTCATTCAGATCTCTACTAAAGACTGTCATCACATTAAAGATTTCATGACTTTGTTTTGTTCATCAGCACTGCTCCTTTCTCAGAGAAAAGCAGAGGAATGTGATGATTCTTTGCTCTCTCTTCATTTAATTTGATGATTATATTTATCACTGAAGAACTAACTATTTTTAAATGACTGGGAAAACTTTACACATACTTACATTTCACATTAAGTGTGATTTCACTTTTACTGTTCCCATACTTATTTTCTGCTACACATTCATAGTCTCCTCCATTTTGGAACATCACAGATGGAAGAAAAATACTTCTGGCACTAGAAGTCCCTATGTCTGCATTGTCAGATTTTCTCCTTAGAATTATCTTGGGAGGAGGGTTGCTTTCAGCAGAACATTGTATGGAGACATTTTGCCCTTCCTGAACTGTTGTAGAAGGTTCAATGGAGAGTTTTGTAATGACTGGAGCACCTGCATGACAAAAGAAAAAGCTGTGAGAGTAATGCAAATGTTCTAAAGATGGAGAAGGTTTTAAGAAAGCATGAATTGCTTGCTCATGAATCTGTTTATTTTGGTTTTGACCCCAGACTCAATCTAAGACTTTTAGCTCTATCAAAACAGTAGCAGTCAATCAATCAATCAATCAATCACAAAATATTACAACAATATTATTAAGTCCAAAACAGTTTTACCATTAAATGCCTATTAAATTTAATGCTAATGACTAAAACTACTAGTTCAAAGAAGGAGACTGTGATGTCCCTGTGAAACTGGTATGCACATTACATTTCACAGAAATAACAGTGTGTGTGTCCCCACCACTTTCTCAGACTCTTTTGCGACTTACAGTGTTGCATTGTGGGATATGTACTGAACTGTGCATGCACAACAGCAGTACTGAGAGAATTAGCTGAAAATGAAATATAGAAAGAAAAACTACAGCACATGAGAACCAGCCTTAAATTGAAACTGAGTCCTGAATATGTAAAAAGGAAAGCCCCATATTTCCCTAATTTTCAGTGTTTCAGCATCCTCCAAGCTAACAGAGATCAGCCAGTTAGGTACTGGATAATACAAGTGAAACTCAAACAGACTTGTACCTTGTATAACAATGTTCACAGTTGCTTCCTCTGTTTTATTAGTTACCAGATTAATTGCTTCACAGATGTACCGTCCTGAATCATTGAAATGGACACGGGAAATAAAAAGAACATTGTTTTTTATCACATGCTGAATGCTTTCTTCAGCCAAATATTTACTCCAAACTATTTGTGCTGGTGGGTTACTCTGAGTCACACAAGTGAGGTTCAGAGAGTCTCCTGCCATTGGTGAGTTGCTTGGAGATGCAGTAATGACAGTATTTTGTGGACCAACTGTAAGAAAACAAAAGGAAGACAAGATCAGTGGTAAATGAAGAATGATATGCACATCTCTAACACTAGCTTTTCTAGAGGCACATGTCACAGAATACCAAGAAAAAAAAAAATGTATCCCAGTAGCATAGTGGGATCATTTTTCCAGAATTAGTAAGATGTTTTACTTGCAGCCTTGAAAGCTGAACTAGCCAAAGCCCTTGTACAAAAATACTTACAATTTACATTAAGTTTCTGAGAAGATGTTCTTTCTTTGGGTTCAAAATCCATATCAGCAATTGGTAACCTGGCCACACAGGTAATCTCTTTCCCAGCATCTTCAGCCATGGGATGAAATGTATATGTCACAGTTTTGGTCTCTGTATTTGTGCTGTCATCGTACAAAAAATATTCCTCATGAAGAACCTGTCCATCTTTCTTTAGGAGAACTTCCAGGTGATGAGAAGGATATACATCAGGAATTTTACAGATGACAGGGGCTGGTTCTCCAGCAACTAAGGATGGGCTGATGTCAATGATAGGATCACTGGGGAAAGCTAAAAGAACAAAATCAATTTTTTTAGACTAGCAGAGAAGAACAGTAGGGTCAACATAAGAGCAAGATCCAGACACCAAATATCTTGATTTTAGAGGTGCTCAGAACATGACATTCTATCAACATTATTACGAGACATAACTTGATCTGAAGACCTACAGGTCCCTTATCAGCAGTACATATACTAACAGGAAGTTTTTTTGTACAATTGTTGAAACATGATCACAAAAGATTAGTAAGATTCAGCATGGCACCTAGGCAGTGATACAGCTGCTTAACTATAGGCATTGAGAGCAATCCATGCACTAGTGCGATCCTGTTTTCTGTGCTGGTAGGTTTGGACATCTGAATTATTCTCCTGCAAACTACAAAGGCATTGATTTTTATTTTCCCAGCTCTAGGAATGCATTAAAGCAGTGCACATTTGGCTTTTAAGAATTGCCAGAAACAAGACTAAATAATATTAGTACATACAATCTTCAATGCAGAAAGCAGAAAAGAGCTAAGAAAGTGTCCTGAACAGACATATAAAGGAATCTCAGAAGGAAGTATATGTTGAGCTATAACACTCATTATCCTAGAATTAAAAGTTAACTGGTAACCACAATATCTAAAACAATTATTGAGTTTTCTATCAAAATGTACTATTTAAAGAGAATTTTACATTTTTACTTACAGTAAAGTTCAACTTTGACACTCTTCTCCTTTTTCCCTCTCTCACCACATATGACAGTACAAAGATAAGAATGAGAATTCACAACACCAACTGGATTCATAGTCAATGTAGAATATGTCCTGTGGTTGCTGACTTTTCCTCCAAGGGGGCTGTCCATCTGGGTTCTCCAGGAAAAACTTGGTGATGCACAGCCAGTGGTATTGCATGTGAGTATGAGTGTGCCTCCAATCTGTGCCACAATTCTCTCAGCAGGTATAATTTCCATTTCAAAAGCTTTAACTGCAAAAGGGAAAACATACATCAATTCAGCAGCTTTCTCAGCTTTTATTTTCCTATTTCTTCTCAAGTTCTACTGTGAAATGAGGTCTTTATGCTTCTTTACTTTATGGTTGTGTGGAAGTTAAACTAATAAAGCGCCATACAGTGGTTCACATATTCAAAACACCCCATAAACATTGCTATTTTTGTCAAAGACAATAAAGACTCAGATGACTGACAGTTCTCATGTATAAAATGGCACCAACCAAATTTAAATAAATGCATTGGCACAACTTATCTTTTTTGTCAGGTGGATCTGATTCTAAAACTTTGTAACAATTGAGGGGAGAGGTAGCAGGTAGATAGCAAAGACAACAGGACATTTAGTACCAAACTTTCAACAGGACATTTAGTACCAAACTTGCTTGCTACTGTCAGGAATGACAATAAAAAGTCAAGCATCCAGCAATGTACTGCAGTTGTCTCCTAGACTATCTTTTAGCAAACTCAATAGGAAAACGACTGAGTCATTGCAGAGCACAGAAAAGCTCAAAGTAAATGTCAAAAAAGCTTCCTGACATTTTGACAGGACTACTTAATTGACAGTTGTATTCACTGAAATGAAAAGGTAACTGGAGAAAAGAGAAATAAAGATCAAACAGCAAATTTTAGGTCACTTTACACTTAACAAAGTTTAAAAAAATGAAACCAGCACCACCAACCCTCACCTTCCCCAACTTACCAGTCCTTAACACGCACAAAATTAATAGCACAGCTTGGCTTGCTCTTCCCATCTCCTTTAACATTTGTAATTGCTGTTGCTGGATAAAGAAAGTAAATTCAAAAGTTTGCTTTCTGTTTTCTGTGAAGAAGCACAGTGAGATCTTGCTGCTCTGCAACGGTTTGTTACAAGAGTTCCAGCTGGCTCTTTATAAAGGCTCTCTCTCCTTGGGGCAGAGTGGGAAATCCCTGGACGGGAAAATCCAGAGCAGGGAGGAAGAGAACCAGTCGGGCGGTGTCCATTGGCTCAGCGCCCTCTGCTGCTTTTGTGGCAGCCCAGGAAAAAAAATAGCAAAGCTTGTAAATACAGTGCCTACTACATTTGGAAAAATCTGTTTCAGATCTGATCTTGCAAACGACAGACAAAATGAAAGAATGTGCGTAAGTCAAAGTAATTGAATGCAACTATATCTCAGATAAAAAGCTATTCAAATTTGTTTTTAATGAAAATATTTTTGTGGGATTGAGTTTTCAGAACAGTTCTAACAATGCTCAGCTCTGTAAACAACATTACACGACTCGGTATTTCCCTTGAAAATTGTGCTACCAGTTTCAAAGGTGTTGTTACTTATGTTCCTAAGTATTTTTGATCTCTAAAAATAAAGAAATACATCAGATAGCAGAAGTCTGGAGATCTGACTTAATCAGCTTGAATCAGGCTTATACTCTTCAAACTAATGGAATTAATTAATATACCCAATGCCACTTTGCAGTGGATATACAAATCCAGTTTGGAATATTTCTGAGGACAACACTTACTGGCTAATATGGCAGCAATGTTAGGGAAAAAAGTAAAATAATACTTTCGGTGTTTAATTTTCAGTTGGAAATGCTGTGAATGCAAAGAATGGATAAAGGTTACTAAATCTCAGTTGTTTATTTATTCAACTGCTTAAGTAATCGAGGTACTACAGAGGGATCTGGACAGGCTGGATAAATTGGCTGAGGCCAATTGGATGAGGTTTAATACAGTGAAGAGCCAGGTCCTGCTCTGAGCTCGCAACAACCCCAAACAGCACTACAGGCTTGGGATGAGAGGCTGGAAAGCTGCCCAGGGCAGAAGGACCTGGGGGTGCTGGTTGGCAGCAGCTGAACATGAGCCAGGTGTGCCCAGGGGCATCCAGGCCTCCATCAGGAGCAGTGTGGCAGCAGGAGCAGGGCAGGGATTGTGCCCTTCTACTGGGCACTGGTGAGGGCACAGCTGCAGAGCCGTGCCCAGCTGTGGGCCCATCACCTCAGGGGGGACACTGAGGGGCTGGGGCCAGCCTGGAGAGGGGCAGCAGGGCTGGGGAAGGGGCTGGAGCACAGGACTGAGGAGGAGCAGCTGAGGGAACTGGGAATAATAATTATAATAACAATAACAATAACAATAACAATAACAACAAATGAAAAATCCACTCCAAGACAATCCAAGAATTACCCAGAAGGCAATAAAACAGGGAAATCTGAAGCATCTGGAAATGCCTAACCAAAAATCACTAAAACTAAAATTCAATGAAATTGCTACAGTGGATTATACCATAATATTTTATTTTTATTATCACCATCTTTTTTTTTTTTTTTGTTAGAGGAGGACAAGGAGGAGGAGGATGAGGAGAAGGCAGAGAAGGAGGTGGAGAAGGAGGAGGAAGAATAAAACACTCCTAAGTGTCACAAAATGCAAGCAGTGTACTGTTCTAAAAGTACTACTATCAAATCCAAAAATCCAATAGCTATCCAGGATAGAAAATAACACTTCTACACAGTGTGATTTTACTGCAGAGAAAGGGGTCTTGTTGGAGAGTGCACTCTCTCTGTTAAGCTGCAAATAATTACTTTAAAATCATAGTCAGAGAAAAGCAAGAAATGAAACTGCTCTGCTTGGACTGCTTAAATAATCATCAGAAGCTAAGCTGAAAGAGAAAGGGCAATATTTCCTTGTTTCTGGGAAATCAGTTTCTAGACGGAAAAAAACAAAATTAAACATAGGAGGACATAGCTGCATACTGGAAAGATCTTAATCAAGTCCTTCATCAGATAACATGAAATAGGAAATAACTCTGTTCCTGGATTCAGTAAATTAAACTGTACAGCTGCCATTAACTTTACTGGAGCTGGATTCTTACCACAGGGACTACTATCCTGAGTATTCAAATTCAACTCAGACAGTTTAGGTAAGAGCAGAGTTAGCCAACAAATATTACTAGAGGAACTACAAATCTGCCAAAATTTTAAAAAGTTTTAAAAAACTTTCTCTTTACACAAATTCAAGTGTAAACCTTCTATGTATTTAAAATAAAATATGTACATTACTGTTGCTCCTACTACCCTCAGCATCAACATCAAAATAGGAAGATGGGCACCAAGTAGGGTTATTTTCAGAACTCTCTTCTTCTGGCTGTAAACAAACAGAGATTAGCTGACAACTTTTAGCACTTACCTTGAGAGTTCAGATAATCTAGTTTTTTATTCAAACAGCACAGAGGAGGATGCTGGGGGTAAAACTGAGGATGCATCTACATCCACAGTGAGATAAGTATTATAGTACCAATTGGAAGAAATCTCGACACATGCAGAGTGCAATGGGGACTGGAATGAAACAAGAATTACAAGAATATTACTAAAGGCAAAAAAGATTAAAAGAATTAAGCACTGGGATGCAACTACATGTTTTTCAATACATCTAGTAATCAAAACAGACTTCTAAGGCTCTGAGGGACAAACTAAGATAAACAATTATGTGTTGCAAAACAGAGTTTGGAAACACTGAACACATTTTTTGGCCCGGCATAAGAAAACACAAGTGTCCTTCAGGAAAATAAAATTCACATCAGATTTATCTGGAATTTAAGAAAAGAAACAATTTCAGAACTGTGCTAACAATTTCCTTTAACTCCTACTTCTGCAATTCTATTAAATACCTATATGATACATTTATTAGCTTTCTCTAAGCAAAAGAGATAACAAGTTCTTGAAATCTTAATGAATTATTTTAACAAAATGCACATTATCCAACAGGTTAGTTATCCAATGTTTATACAGCTTTTCCAGCATTTTTTCCTCCTGTCTTATGGAAGCTATTAGGGGAAAACTGAAAAGCCAACCTTTTGCAGAATCTGGACTCTTAAAACTTTCACCAGTGCTTTTGTGATTTATGGACAAGGACCTATGGTGAAGAGAGAGAGAAATTTCCTCTGTCCTTTTGACAGAGGAAATTTAATAATAAAGAAGGTAGAAGGAAACTCATCTGACCTGACATTCTGGTGAAAGGATGCAGCAAAGTCTGACTCAACAGTTCTTTAGCCCCATATCAAAGAGGTGTTACAGCAACTCCATACTTAGGTCCCCTGTTCAAACTGCAGCCCTTACACATCTCAGGAAATATTCTTGGGATGTGCCCTGGGGGTCTGAGTAAAGAAAACCTCAGAGTTTCAGATGCTTTACAGAAGCAGCTGGGATGAAAAGCTTCCACCCCACGCACAGAGTGTCTGATACCTCTGCAGGATGATTGTGCCTGAAGAAAAAGAGCCAGAGGACTGTGCTGTAACTCAAATGAGAACTAACCTCAGAGACAAAACTCACATCAGCAAAGAAGGAATGCCCTCCAGGCATCATATGCAAGGCAGTACCTTTAATATGGTCAGATCTTGATAAAGTAACTGAAAAAACATGAAGCTGGAGGACATGTATGAAGACTGCTGATTACATGGCTAATAGAGCAGGAAATGATCTGCCAGTCTCAACATTTTCAGTTCTCAGTAACTTCAATAGCCTGCTCTATGGGTTACACACTGTCTCCTTCCTCAGCACCCGGACTTTTGGTTCCCAAAGCTGCCCCAAACTTTGCTTCTCCTGACTCTCTCCACCTGCTTTCTCAATACCTGACAATAATACAATCTCTGTATAGCCCCAAGAGGGGGAGGAGAGCATCACTGACTCCCTATAATTTTCATCTCCGGATGGGAAGGATGAGATCTACATGCATATCTATTTAAAGGGTTGTGTCTGTTTCAGGAATTGTAACTTTGTACCTAACTACAAAAAGAACACCAACGCATTACCCTGTAACCCACATCACACCTCACAATTGTACTCCACATCTAACTTGTCATCTACTGCAAGAAGAAAAAGAAAAAGAAAATCTTAAGAAAGTTTTATTATCTGCTTCTTTCCCTTTTCTGGAATTTCTTAAATGCCATATATAAAAATAAATGCATCTACTTCCTCCATTATCTTTCTCAGGCACCAGCTTCTCAGTTAGGACACTTCCTGTCTGGTTAGTCTGAAGGCAACTAGAATCCACAAAGGTGCCAAATAAAATAATACAGAAGACTGATAAGATGCACAGACTACAGATTAGTTAATTTCTTATTTTCTTCTATTCAGAGGCATTGTCCACTTCACAGAAAGAACAAAAATTTCATCTAATAATAAATAAAAGCCACTAGAGAAAAAAAGTCCCTATTTTTTATCCTAGTCTTCTGTTACTGGAAAAAAATACATGCTTTGGAAATTCCAAACTTTATTTCTAAAAAACTGAAAGTATGATTTTAGTGGTGCTGGATCTAAAAATGAAACTGTTGGATAGTGTTGAAATCCACATACTTTAAGTGCCAAATGCTGTAATCCAAGCCAAACTTCATTAGTTTGGATAGCTGTGCTCCTGTTGTCTTCACAGTGGAATAGTTAAAAACAAGTTTCCCTTCTGAAATATTACCTAGGCTATAACAAGAATTAAATTCAAATATGACCCTTGGAGTATTCAAAATCTCTTTGGGAATTCTGAAGTAAGACTTCAGATTCACTTTTATTTTGATCTGAATATAGCAAGGCATATAAAAATAATTTGTTCTCACTGGAGAAAACTACAAAAAAAAAACCCCCGACAAAACTCATTCAAAATGGACAGAGTGAAAAAATAGAGTGGGCTTTGGGTCAACATGCAGATGATAACCAGAACTTAAGATATGGCAAGGTAAAGTCAGATGAAAACATTTTAGAAGGAATATGAGCAAGTTACTTAATTCCCCAACATTCCACAGGAAATTCTAACACCATTAAATCTTGCTGTGTACTTTATTAAGGCCAGTGTTTCATAAGATGAGAAGAATTTTTTCAAGACAGTGATGGAGAACTTTTTGACCAAGCCTTCTTCTTACTCACCAGCAGCAGCTCTGCAACACCCTTGTTCATGAGTCACTTCTCTGTTTGTCACATCCTTCCTGCTCTTCAGTCATGAGGTACATGCATGTCCCTATGGACCAAGAAAGAAAAGGGGGAATAATGACAGCAAGATCTATAACAGACCATTCCACCTGCTGAAAAGTGCACTGCTAATAATGGATTATCCTTCAACTTATCTTCCAGAATATATTCTTTTTTATTCTCTTACAATGGTTCATATTCTGAAGTACTGTGCTTGGCTGGGTATTTTTGCTGCCTTGTGTTATAGAAATGTTATCTTTGTTGTCCCACAGTGGACTGGCTCACTAACAGGTAGAAATACTACACAGATGTCAGAAAGTAATTAAATTACTTAACTTTGCAGAATTCAAGATTCATAATTTTTAAATCTTCCATATTAGTAAGTATTACAGAGATTTCTCAGTTTATTTTATTGGTTTTTTTTTAAAGATACACAGAAATTAAATCTCTTTTTTACCTAGATGTTGTTACCCTCCGCTCTCTGGAAATGGACTGAAAGTCCTGAAGAAACTGACCTTCCAAATAGAAGCAACTGGGAATGAATCAATTTTTACTTCCGTCAAGCCAAAATGACAAGTATTCAAGAGAAAGGATTTTGCAGTAGCAAAATATGTATGTTTGTGTGTCTGTACACACACTGATAAATCAAATAATGCTTGAAACGAGCTGCAACTCTATTAAGGGACTGGCACCCTGCTTTTGTCTCTGGAATGTGCTCTACCCTAAATAAAAAACATGCTGTTTTGTCACTTGGACTATTTCTCTCTCTCCTTTCTTTCCCCCAGACAGTTAGGTATCATCTTAACTGCTTTGTTAACACTTCCACAAAAGGAATATAGCAAAGTAGGAGTGGCTAAGTGATAAAAACCATAAGCAGCTGAATTTTTCTTGACAGACAAGGGTAAGAAAGATGAGAGTTAATGGAATTTATTTCCCCTTCCCAGACAATTACTTGGCTAGGCATCAAAGCCCCAGCCCTTGTAGTCTGATATAGACAACTGAGCAAGAATGACTTTCATAGTTGTGTCACCTTTTATCACAGACCATGTTACACTCTAGTGATAAGACAGGCAACTTGAGAAATGTGTCACATGTTTGAAATTGCTCTCAGGCAGGATGAAACTCTGTACTGAATTAGTATGAGAAAAACCTGACTTCCAACGTTCTGATGCCTCTTAGCCAAGGATCTCTCCTGAAATTTCCCAAGAACTGCATGTGAATATCAAATAATAAGTAACAGATGGTTTAATGACCCTCTTGGTTGAAAAACTTTTGCATTGTTTGACTTAATTTCTTACTATAGTTAGCTCCACACCATGAGGAATGGCTATTGGCAGCCCTCTTTCAACAGCTCAGCTCCAGGCAAACCTACAAAGTTCACTTGCAGCTGAATGAAATAACCATTGACTAAGTGAGATGACCATGCACCTACTGCCAGGGCTTTCACTTAGATACTGGGACATCCTAATGGGAAAGGGAACAATTCTGTGCAAGCCACAGTTTACAACAGATAAAGAAGACATAAATGTTTCATAAGCAGTCTTGAATCCTTTTGTGGATCAAGGATCAACCAGTTAAGTTCTCATAGGCTCATGAGCCTGAGATGAATCTTACCTCAGGAGTGTCTTTCAGTACCCAGGACATCAGCAGCATGGTGACTTGGATCTGCAACACCATCAGGCTCCAGGCACAGGAACTTCCCGAGATGTATGAGGGTGAATTCATTAAGATTTTGAGCAAATCATCCTGCACCGAGTCTCCAAGATTATTTGAATGAATGTAATACAAACATCTCACACTAAAAAGAAATGCATTCTAGGAATTCTCTATTATTGATGTAAAGTGTTTGATATAAACCCATCAGCCTATAAGTGATTTATTATTACATTCTATAATACTGATTCACCTGCTATGTCACTAAGATCCAGCTGCTGACTTTTGCTTTTCTTGCACTCTCGGGTGTCTTGTGCCATGACTATTGAATTTTTGTGGCATGAAGAGATTTTCTTCTACCTCTAAGGTCAGCATATGGATCCTAGTGCACATTTCACAAAATGTGCTGTTACATAGCAAATATAGTCTATCAACAATTTAGGATCTCAGACAATTTAAGAAAAATTGTTCCAATTTATCCCACATATTGTATTTATTAATGGGAATATTTATTTTAAATTTATTTTTCTAATTCATTAATTGGAAAATTAATAAATAAAAATTATATTTAAAGGTTACTACAAGATTTGCACATTTAACTTAAAGGCGGACAAATTTTCAGGTCAAGTCTATAGTACAGAATGATTACAAGAATGAAGAGAAATTTATCACAAGATTGAAAAGTAAGCAGTGTATGTGTTCAAAACTCCATATCTACCCAGGAATAAAGCAATTACTAAATTAATCTGTACTCTTTACTAGTTCCTAGTAGCTCACCATATTCCCTTTTTAATAAAAGAAACAACTGTTTTCTAATTTTTAAGGGATTACACAGTTGATAAATGCTACTAATTTAGTCTAAAGCTGCAGACGGTTATAAAGATAAATAAATGAGAAGATGACAATCCTGCACAACATTCCTTGTGAAGTTAGTTTTGGGTCTGTGAATCACCTGTAAACTTACCTTGACCTTTTATTTTCTTACTCTTTCTAACAAAATCTAATGTTTCAATTAACGCATTTCATATCATGGCACTAAGCCATTTTCATAAGGATTTCTATAATGTGCCATTTAAGATTCAGTTTATCCTTCCAAGGCTGTTTTAGACAGAAAATTAAAGCAAAAACTCAGACAACCACATTAGTGTTTTGACTGGCAAACACAATTACCTATGGGACTTGAGTACTAATAGCACTTTTCTGGCACATAGTTGTAAAGCAAACCATTGTGAATAACTGGAAATCCTGTCAGGATCTAATTTGAAGAAATAGGGCAAAAAAACAAGTGAGAAGTTGTCTGTGACTTCTTGGTAATCTCATGATTATGGAGTGACATCACTTGCAACAATTTCATGGTAACTCCTTAAAGTCACTGAGGGTTAAACACAGTGCAAGCCTAACTTGAAACGTGCTTGGAACTTCAGGTTCACCTTGGCTGTAATTTCTGGCTGTGTCTCAAAGCAAGGCCTCTGAATCATGATTCAGAGAGCTCTCTGGAGCTCATGGAATGTCAAGGGCCTGCAGGGAAAGTGAGTGTGGTCTGGATTGTCACAACTGGGTTTACAACACCCAGAAGTGTTCAGTAACAGTGAGAGCAGCTTGATGCTTCCCATATGAACATGCAGGAACTACCCAGGAGCACAAGGCAGCTTTCAAATCTCACTGTTAAAGAGAAATGAAATCTGCCATTCCTGCCAGTTTAACAGTGCTTTACACAGAGATAAATTTCACAGGTTCTTCTCTGAGAAACTTACTAGTCAAGGTATGAATGAATGCCTGTCACAAATACATTTGAAAATTTCCAGGACCCACATAATAGGAGGCTATTTGAAAGAGTGTTAAAACAATTTCTTTTAAATAAAATAAGTTCTTTCTATGCTAAAACTTAAAATCTTTCTCAAAAAAAACCAGGAATCACTTACAATTGCTCCACAAAACACAATAAATAATGTAAAAAGATAAAAGAACAAAGACTGGAAAAAATGGTAAATGGGAAGTAGGTATTGAGGAAAATTCTGAAAACATTATTGAATAGTCTTGCTTCAGTATCTCATATATTTCAGGAAAAATTTTTTCTTATAAAGTAGCTCAAACGAAAGGAAAAATGGTGCTACCACACAGAGTTAAGATAAAAATATTATAAACAATATTCCTATTCCCTTATTATTATTTCCACATATTACAAAACACATTGCATGTTTTGCATTGGAGGTTATACTTGCTAACTTCTTTTGCCAAAAGGAAACTTTTTCATAAGTAAGTGCTGCTGCTGTTTCTCCCTCACATTTAGAACTACTTGTTTATTATCTTTTCCAGCATATATTAAAAGAAACACAACTGTACACCAAAGCATTTGACAGGTCTGCTTTTGCAGGGGAAAGACTGTTTTTCTATTTAATTCAATATTCCTCTAAACCTTGGTAAGAATAATGGAAAGTAGTCCAGAAGGTGCCTAGTACCTGAGATCTAACTCCTATTCCCCCATTTCCAGTCTTTTGGGACTGAAATCCTGTTTAGATATGCTCATGAGTGTCGTTGTTACAAGGAGATAGAGATGGACAGAATGTACCTACAGTGGATGAGTCAGAATTTTTTCAAGCCAGAATCCCATCCCTGACACAGGCCAAAAAGCAGATTAAAAGATAACATCTTGAGAATGGTAGAAGCACAAGTGATATAGTTGCTTACACATTGACTCAGAGAGAAATGGTCTGCATTGAGTCCGTGGTTTTGGGAACATAATTCAAGAAAAAACCTATGAGCAAATGAAATTTGAGAAATATCTAAGAGATTTGGAAATACAAGTTTACAGATGTATTTCTAAAGCTTGCAGCCTTTTAAAACTTATCCTAAACAGAATAGAAAAATAGAAATTAATAGTATTAACTAACACTATTGCAATTAGAACAAGGAATCACCTGCTCTGTTCTGCCACTCTTAAACCAGCTCTGCTGCTTTACTTTCCTCTTGCACTACTGCAAAACTTTTTTCTCCTGCAACTTTAAAATAATCTCTGCCTTTTTCGAATCTAGAATGTCACTAAACTTTATCAACTGAGCTCTTCTTAGCATCCCAGCATTGCACAGGGACTCTGTCAAAGTTTTGAGCTGTCCCACAGCTGTTGCTGCCTGCCAGTGCACTGCTCTGAGGCTGTCTCAGCCCTGCTAGCACAGTTTGCCTGTGTCACCATCTGCTGACTTTGCACAAGTGTCACAGAGCTGCCTGTTGGCACCCACCTGTGAACATTAGATTCTCCCAAATTAACCACATCACCTCTTACTTAGGTTTGCATTCTGGCTTAGTCTAAAGCCCAAGGGACTCAAACAGAGATTCTTCAAGATACACTTTCAGACTTTGCATTGTCCTCTTCAGCTGTGTAATGACTTACCAAATGATTTTTTTAACCCACATTTACTAACACTGCAAACTGGAATGACTGAAAGGCTAGGGAGCTGCTCTGCTTCTTTGCAAGCCCAGATTGGTATAACTGAAGTCACAAGGAACATGATAATTTATAGAGCTCCTGCTATGCTGGGCTGCTCAGGCAAGGGCTCAAGTGCGAAACATGGATGTAGTTCAGAAGGCTGTCTTTGCCACAGCACAAAAATTTGCAAATTTTATCACAAGAATACATATCTTTACTTGAAGAGTGGAAGTTGGCTTTATACAACAGCTTGAAAATCATGTCAAAACTGATCTCAAAATGCAAAGTTGTTTCAAATGAAATATATTAAATAGTAAATCTCTAATACATATAATCAAAATCACTTTTCATTCTGTGCTGTCTCTCCTCTTGGGAGGAAGTTGGCATTTTTCATTGCAGCAGCATCTATTATCTCTCTTTAAACATTTCCCAATTTTAGCAGAGAAGACTCCACCTTCACCCAATACACAATAAACAAAACTTTTCTAAGGCTTCAGCCCTTTTCAAAATCCCAAAGTTGCACATGGGATAAAGAAAGAAACAGGATGTTAAAGTAAATTGCACAAAAATAGGAAGAAGGTTGTTTATGAAATGGCAGCCAGAGTCCTGACATATACACTATTCTCCCTGTTTTTTCCTTTGCCATAAGTTTTCTGACCCCTATGTTTTTTTGTTTTGGTTTGGTTTTTTTCTGGCTGATTTGTTCATCAGCTTTTTCTATCACTACGGCAAAGGCAAATATCCTCTGGAAGGAAGACATTTTCCCTCCTCCACGCTTCCTCCGGTACACAGAAGAAAGAACATCGATTTATTATCCTGCCAAAGTTGGCCACCTGGACAGACACCCATCATTCTCAGAACAGAAATGCAAGAATGCTAGAATGCGCTCTGGAACAGATAATTTCCCACATTTGCCTTTACTGTAGGTCCAATGTCTAACTTACAGCAATAGTCAACAGCAGTGGCTTCAGCAGAAGATGAAGGATGCTCATAACTGGCAAAGTTCACTGCACAGTTCTTTAAATATTGTCCTTATTTGCTGAGATTATGTCTCCTTATTTGAGGTATGACTTCCTTCTTCAGCTTGTCTCACTTTACTACAATTATTCCTTCAACAGCAAAAACCCACAAAATTGTTATAAAAGTCAAAACTCATTCAGAATGAACAATGCATACAAACACTAGTAAATACTGGTGAATATAAATTTGTCTAATTTGAACATTTTATCTCTGAAGACAGGAAGAAACTTCCCAAAAGTTTCCCACCTACAAATTATCATGTAATCAGATCATATCAGTTTCAGGAATCACAACACACTTAAATCTAGGAAATACAAAACATTAACTGGAAATGAGAAGAATTCTCTCTTATTAAATCACAGTTGTTGCTATTCTTTGGATTAAAAAAGTGATCTTCCTCATTTCATCCATGCTGTGATATTTATAACATTCGAACAGCCTATATTTAGTCTGTGACCTTTACATTTGACCTTTAATTTCTAAAGTTATAGAAAGGCAGATAAAAAGACATTTTTTAAATAAAGGAGTTTAAGGTTTATTTAGTGATTTATATATATACTGCAGATTAGTCATGAAACTATCTTCTGTATGCTACCTTT